TCATGTTTTTTTGCATGATGAATATAAGTTGCTTTTTTAGCAGTACTACCACATTTTATTCTTATTAATAATATTTATCACATATAATAATATTTATCACATAAATAGAACATAATCTATTTATGTCAAACTGATTATTTTTATATATTAAAATACTATTAAATATTTTGTAGGTTCTCAGAACTTTAGAACTACAGAATTCAGAACACTTCAATACATGACTAATTTAAGCTGTTCAGATTTATTTAATATGCATATGTATACATGTGTCTTTAATTCACATTTTACAATAAAAAAAACTGTTTTTACACCAATGGACATAATATGGTATTAAAAGAAAAAAAAATACTAATAACCATATATAATCATAATTATATATTTACTTAATAACAAGTTAATTCTTAGATAATTTATATAAATCAGTTGAAGTTTTAAATCTTTTTAATCTGTTATTTAATAACAAATACAAACAGAATAGAAGTTTAATGAATCTATATTCTCTTATTTTCTTCTTTCCTTCATTATACCATGGTATGATCAAGTAATAGAAATCATCGTTTATTCTTATGAGGTTAATTATTAATTATTGAGTTAATGGAAACTATGAAGGATAAACTTCTGTATCTATAAACAAATATTGTTAAATATTAGACCTATATCTAATAAATAAAATACATAAAAGGTGTTACGTACTTTCAAAGCGTTCAGATCAATGTCGTCGAGCGAACAGTTGACGCTCGGTGCCAAATTATGCGCCATCTTGATACGCCACTTGCGCTCCTTGCGAGATATCTTTCCTACTTGAGCTCAGCAAATCCTTTTTTCTGCTTCTTCAGTTATTGTTCTTATTATGACTTTCAATTTAAGCTGGACAAAAATGTAAAAATATAGAAAGAAGGAAATTATTCTCCGCACTTGCACTAGCACAAAACACCAGTATCACTAATAGAAATTTTTATTAAAATCATTCACCGGTAAACTAGTTGCACGAATATTTTTATGAAAATTTAACCAAGTACGATCGAAAGAGAAAGGAAACATATATAGAGCAATGGCACATGGCGTACGAAAAGACTGTAACGATCAACGAAGAAACAGTTTACCAATCAGATTAGAAAACAATGCACTTCCATCACGTTATCGTCAAATTTTTCATGAAATATAAATGTCAATAATGTATAGTGGCAAGTAACACGTATTACACAGTCACAGCGCTAAGCGCTGGATTATCGCATCGTCATAACGAATACAGCACAACCGAGCCGAGCCCAAACACCACGGCAGCGGCCGTTCTACGTCCTGTCGTACTGCTTTGCTGCACGCCTCTATTCCCTCCCTCTCCCGCCTTCGCACTCTATTACTATCTTTTTTGTTCTTAAGCGTGCGCACACATGCTTTTCTGTTCTCTCTTCTTAATACAGACAATATTTTCACCGTCTTTGTTTTTCGTGCGCTATGATTGTATACCACTATACTTCTTGACGTCATCCACCGAACTATAATGGCGGCAGTACTTCCCTTCCTAATTTTCTTATCATAAAATAAAATTAATCAAAAAATTATTTTACTAATATTCTATTATTTTTCATTTTTAATTAATTTCTTAGTAATAATTAATAAGTCGTAAGAATACTTATATATTTCATAAATACGTATTATTTTGTAAATGTATAACACTGTATTTGAGATAAAATGGAAAATCTAGATAATTGAAAATTAGAAAATTGGTTTATTCCTTCTTTAATATATTTAATACATTCCTTCTTTAATATAATTTTATTCGAATTTAATATCTTTAAATAGTATTTCAATACATTCATAATAACAAATAGATATATTCTTTTTTTTAACATTTTTATAAAGAGTTATTTATATTATTATTATAGTTATTTTAGAAAATATGACTTCTATATGATAACTAGATTGCAGATGTTTATACACGTAAAATATGCAAAAAATATATGCAAAATATGCATAAAAAAAAATAGGCACGTAAAATATGCAAAATATGTTAGTAATATACAAAGTGTTTTAGGTTTTTCTAATCAAATAATGCGAGTTGTAAAACATTGTTATATAAAACGAGCTCAATTTTGTTTTTACAATATAAATATGTAGTACCTTTTGATATAGAAATGTTCTGTATACAATGTAGCTTTATATATGATAAATTATATGCAATACAAAATTTAGCAATATATCTATATTTGGCAATATCATTTATTCTAATACACGTATTATAGCAATAGTCCAACAGAACTATTGAAATGATTAGAATACAACTCTTAACAATTTGATGTGATCTTCAAATGATGCTAGATACATGACTAGATACGCGTTATTATTATTATTATACATATACACTCTATACCGGTATGAGTCGTAATTATACATTATACATTATACATTATATTAAAATTCTGAGAATTTCAACTGTTTCATAATCTAAATTGATCAGATTAAATTGATCGGATAAATACAAAAAAATATATATACAATGTATATGACAACTTTTAAACATTAATATGCAAAACATATGCATGACACAAAATATGTAAACTAAAAAATATTTTTAAATAAATTTTTAGCATATTTAAACAACATAATAAATTTCTATCCAACTTTCATATCTTTATCTTTTTTCTATAAAAATATGCATTTATAATCTAATAATAACAAAATTTTCCAGTACTTATTATATTTGTATATAATTTTATAATCAACTAAACACAAAACATTATTACTTATTACATATGTGAAATACAACTGTATGGTATTCTAATTATATATAAGTCTTAATAATTATATATAAGTCTTAATAAAATATCAATCAAATTATAAAGAATTATATTTATAATAGTCAATATTATAAAAAATAAATTTCAGATTTGTACAAATTTTACAAGTACATACATATTTTTAGAAATTTTATTTATATAATTTTTTAAAAATATAATTTATATTCAACATAAAGCAGCTAATTTTCGTACTGTATTTAAATCTCGAACAAGCATTTGAACCGTCTGTTTAGTTCGTGGCTGAACATCTGAAGCAGATGAATCTTCGGGATCCATAGCTTCTAAAGCTACAAACATACATATATGATAATAAGATATTTAGAAAATTATTAATATATATAATCTATATATAAGATTATTAATTTTTATTTAGATTATTTAATTCTTTATTTACATTATTTAGATTATTCAATTTTTTTTAGCAATATATAGAATTTTTTGATAAAATTTACCAACCACAAACTTCTGCCTCAATGAATGTTAATTTTGCATCTATATGATGTTGAAAATGTTCTATATGTTCTAATAATCGCATTCGACATTCTCCTGCATCAATTGGCGCTTCTGGTTGTGGTATAAAAGGTTGCAATGGGGCTGATATTTCAGGTTCACTAAGTTCTTCATGCATATGATTTGCTGACATAGTTGAGGTTGATATATTATCCTCAGACATATTTGATTGATTGGTTAAGTAGTCTATATATAAAAAATATAATATTATATTTACAAATTAACAAAATATCTTGTTATAAATAAAAATTTATTTTTATATTTACCTGTATTTGTTTTCATCTCTGAGTTCATATATTTTTCTTCTGAAGCATCATTTTTTGTAAGTGCATCAAGAAGAATATGACTTTTAGTTTGATGTGTAAGATCTTCTTTTTTACCACTAATTTTAGATTCATCCGAAGTTATATTATCTTCCTCTAATATCTTCATTAATTCTGAATCTGAGGCTATTGATTTTTCATCCTGATCATCTTTTAAATTGAATTTTATTTCTGTTTTTACTTCAATTGGTTGAACACCTTCACTTGTATCTATGCAATCTTTTCCTGATTTCATAATTTCCATTATTGGTATTGGCGTCACATTTGGTTTTGGTACTTCTGTTTTTTCCCAATTCTTGGCCCAAAGGTATAACTTTGGATGATCTTTTTTTCTATCATACAAATTTTATTATTATTAATGATTTTCTATATATTTCAATTAGATTGTACATATTTATAATATTTGCTGATTACATGAATACATATTTATAATACTTACTGAGCTACATTAATCTTTACTCTTAAACTGTGCAAAACTTGTTGTATCTGTAAAAGAGCAGTAACTAAATCATAAGAACGTTTTAACATAGCTGTTCTTTGATTAACCCGATGTTGATTTTTTGTTCGATTAGATAATGTTGGTAATTTTCCCTCTTTTATCCAATCTTGATCGTGAAAATATTTTTTAGATAACCGTTGGCGGTATGGATTCCGACAAATAAAACAAACATATTTTTCAGGTACATCCTTTTCTTTTTCTATTGCGTTACAGTGACCATGTTGCCAACATAAACAAAGATCACACTGAATCATTAATCCATCTTCTTCCATAAACCCACAAGTACAATTTATTATTTCTTCTCTACGAAGTTGTTCCACTTTTACCATTTCACCATTAATCATCATCATAACTCCTTCATTCTCTACAAAAATATAACTCTTAAGTCATCATCTCATAAAAAAAATAAGTATCTTTTATTATTTAAGACAATTCATAGATAAATATATTCTTTAAATTAAAGAAAAAGCATGAAATAAATATCAAAATATAAAATATAAGAATTCTCTGCAACATCGAAACATTTTACAATCGAAATCTAAAATTAATACAAGTTTAACATAAAATAAAGCAAAACATTAAAAAAATAAACGATATACCTTCCCCATCATTAGTATCTTTTTTACCAATATCCCCTTTCAAGGGATCATCTTTTTCGACACGCGAATCGTTTAGTTGACCTAAAGAAAGATAAAATGATAATAAAACAGTAGAATATTTTATTACATTGAAATAAACCAATGTATAATAGCAAAACTAAAAAATAACATTTAATATAAAATTATTCGTATTTAAAAAATGTCCAAATATAACTTACTACTTTGACTATTTTCGTCACTTCTTGAATCTGATTTTCTACGACTATATCTATATATAAGTGAATTTGATCCTGCCCCTTCTATATCCATATTACTATCCTCTAAATCACCATATTCTTCTGGAAATTCTTGAATGCCTATCAAAAAATAATATTTTGTACTTTTAATTTATTAAAATGATCAAAATATAATGGATAAGTTATTACCATGCCGTTTTTTACCCCTGTTGGATGCATCAGAGCTGTATTCTGATAATTGTCGTTTCCTTTGACCTTTCATTTTGTCGATGTGAATAGCTTCATCTACAGATTTTGATCTATCAATTCGCTGTGCTTCTGAAGACAAGGCTGGTCTTATTGGAAGAAGTGTCTTAATACCACTTTGTGTTTTTTCTTCTCTAATTTTCATATCAAATAATGTTCCAGGTGACATTGCACATGTATCTTCTCGTTTTTTCTCAGTTTCATCATCCATATCTAAACTATGATTAGAATTCGGAGACATTCTTTCTATTTTAATATCTTCTCTCTGTATATCATTGCTTTTTTCTATTTGGTTTGCTTCATCCTCTATTTCTACTGTTGTCGGTATAGTTGTTGGTGATATAGGTTGAACAGCACTTGTTGCAGAAGGTGATGAAACATATGATTTATCTTGAATAAACTTTTTCTTTGAAAATTTATTACACTTCTCTAATAAATTATTTGATTTTTTTGGAATAATATCTTCAACAGATTCTCCAATTGTTCTTGCATAAGCTAAATCTGCAACATTTGGTGTACATCCCAAAAATTTTGAATATTCTGGATGATAATGCTTTATATGCATTTGTAAAAGATTTTCCTTTCTAAATGTTTTACTACATCCTTGTTTTGGACATTTATAAGCACTGTCTTCCATTTCTACTCGAAGTCCACCAATAAAGACAGCTGTTAACAAATAATTTAGTTAAAAATAATCTAGTTTATGCATTTATTTACAAAAATGTATTTAATTTAATTAATCAATAATTTAATTAATAACATGTAACATAACATTTATTCATGCAATATAATACTTACAATAAATTAGTCCTAATATAGGTAAGCATAAAAGAGCAACTAAATAAAACATGACGAAGAATGTAAGAATGAAACAAAAAAATGGAATCATACCACCATCTTTAATAGCTGTATTTGATGTAGATACTAAAGTTGTAACTGGTACACTGGAGGAAACAGGTAAGGAATTTTCAATTACTGTTGCTTTTGTTTTAGGTAATAAAGTTTTAATTTTTTTGGGAGTATCTATAACAATATCTTGTTTTACTTTTTGACTTTGATTTTTCTTTTTCCGATGAATACAAAAATCGAATTTTTCTGGATCAAAATCAAATTGTCCTTGATTTTCCATAAATGCTCTAATATCATTTTTTGATCTAAACTTCTTCCCACTAGATTTATGAAGAAATAAGACATCCCACTTTCCAGCTGATGTCCCAGCTTTTCTCTGAGTAAAATGTTTTTGCCATCCAGGTGGTAATCTTTTGTCTGCAACTATTATTGACCGACGTGGGCCTAAAAATCAGACAATAAATATTACACGATTTTTATTCTATACTGTATAGAATAAAAATAATGAACTTTAGTAAAATTTTCATTTCTTCTAACATACCATCATTTCCATCGACTATATAAGACTCAGTTCCTTGAGGTTCTCCATCTATCCATTCAGGACCAACATCTTCTACCTGATCTATATCATTTTTAGGTACTTCTTTCTTATTTTTTTTAGTATGAGCTTTTATTCTAGATACATTAGTATCAAATCCACGCAATAAATCTGTGCCTGGATCATAACAAGGTCCAAATAAAGTTCCATCCAAATCAATTTTATTTTCTGAAAAGCATTCTGCATTTTCATTAACTACAATTCCTTCTTTTTTTGTTAATTTATCTGTGTCAGTTTTTGAACGTTTTCTATAATGTGTATGAAATAATTCCATCACCGTGTGCTTCCTTTTTTTATCTCTTCTTTCTTGCTTGCTTCCGATGTATTCTTCAGTTTGACTAGATTGCTATTACAAATAGCACAATGAAATTTCATTTTCTTAATCTACTGTACTATTGTTAAGTTCATGATTGTTTCTGATGCTAATTTTTTTTTATGATAATATAAAATTTTAATTCACATAAATAAAAAAAAAATTTGTATTATGTGAAATTTTAATTTATATTGCACATTTAAATAATAAATGTTGAACTTATATATTTCATATTTATAGAAATTTATTATATGTACTACCTTTGAAGATAATTATAAAAATATTTTTTTAACAATTACTGCTTTTTTCAATATGTAAACCAATAAAACAAACAACAAAATCAATTTACTGCACATTTTTTTATAATAATAAAAAAGTAAACCGATTGAATTTTATATTAATGATATACAACATAACCTTACTACAAATACTATACCTTTGTAGCTGTTGTAGCAATTTTTGTCATTTTTGACGATTTAATTGTCTTCGTATATCCATCATCAAACAATACATCATATCTATCTGTAAAAATAATCTTAAATTAAAAAAGCACTATTTCTTAAATTAGAAGGATCCCATCACGAAACGTCAAACTAACAATAGATAATTCCCGTCACTACATAATTAAGGTTAGATCACTTACCGTTTCCTAAGACGGCATTTACTTTAGCTGGATATTTTCTACCATCAGCCCATGTAGCAAGTATCCTTTCCCCCACTGAAAAGTCTCTCATTTTTGCTTCCCTATGAGATTTAAATTTATTTATTATCATACTTGAAAAAATATGATTGGTTATTACAATAGATACAAATAATAAAATAATTTCTCATATAAACAATAATTTTGTTTTGACATACTTAAACATTGTATAAATATATATATATATATATATATATATATATATATATATATATA